CAAGGGGAGAGGCAGGAAGAAGCTGCACTCTGGGCTGTTGACTCGGGAAAGACAGGGCTTGGTTTGTTGCCTTCTGGAGTATGTGCAAACCTGCCAGGGCTGCATGTCCACTCTTAAGCCCACACCATACCTGTCTCCCCACATGCAGAGCCAGGGGAAATGGGAACTTGGGATGTAGTTAAGTGCAAAATCTTAAAGGTACATGCTTGTTCTGCTCTTCTGGCCTCACTGCACCCCAGAATCTTGGGGAGGGAGGGCTGAGCTTCTGGCTCCACTGATGTGCAGTCATTACTGCCATCACCTATATCCTACCTCATGGAGCACCTGCAAGCTCTCTCACCCTCCTGGTTCTTGTTTTTGAGGTGGTAACCCAAAATGTGTGTGTATGTGTGTGGAAGGCAACAGACACCGGAAGGCCCACAGATGAGTTAGCAGATCAAAGAGGAACTGGCAGACCCAGGTGTCAGGTGGCTGACTGGAGCTCCCCAGAGGGTTGATGGCAAAGTTGATAAGAGCCGGGTCTCTACCTCCAGCTTGGTACTCTTTCCACCACTTTCCCATGGGATTGATCATTTGTTCCTTGTTTATTCACTGGACATACATTTATTAGGCACCTCCTAGGTATCAGGGGCAAGTTGAGAGCCGCAGACAATTCCAGTACTGAACATGAGCTGTGTGCTGTGAGAAGCACTGGTAATGTGGGAACCTGGAAAAGGGTCACACTCTCACCCTGGGGAAATCAGGGAAGTCTTCATAGAGGAGGTGAGGCTTGCTTGGAGTCTAGAAGCAAAGTCAGAGGTTAAGCCAGATAGAAAAGTAGGGGGGTGTTCAAGGCAGAGGAACCAGGCACATGCATGACAAGTTTTTGGCACTTCACTAACAAAGCATGGTGAGGTGGAGGCCAGAGAGGGGTTGACAGGAGCAGGCCATTTGGTTTTTGCTGGGCATGGTGGTGAACACCTGTAATCCCAGCTACTCAGGCAGGAGGATCACAAGTTCAAGGCTCAGCCTGGGCAACACAGTGAGACCTTATCTAAAACCCGGGGGAAGCACTGGAGATGTAGCTCAGTAGCAGAGCACCCCTGTGTTTAATCCTCTGTACCCCAAAAGGTTTATTTTTTGTTCTGAAGCTAGTGTTCAGAAATTGAAGGATTAGCCAGATGTGGTGGCCTGTGCCTGTAATTCCAGCGGCTCAGGAGGCTGAGACAGGAGGATCGTGAGTTCAAAGCCAGCCTCAGCAACAGTGAGTTGCTAAGCAACTCAGTGAGACCCTGTCTCTAAATAAAATACAAAAAGGGGCTGGGAATATGGTTCAGTGGTTGAGTGCTCCTGAGTTCAATCTCCAGTTCCCCCCCCCCAAAAAAAAGAAAGAAATTGAAGGATTATAAATAGCAATGACAAAATTGCTTTGGTTGGAGCATGAATTGGAGGGCCTCACTTGGAAATAGCTGGACACTAAGGTGGAAATGAGGCTGTGCCTTAGACCACAGTGACATCTAGCAGATAGAATCCAGAGCTCTTGAAGAACAAGTAGAGGTAGCCAGTAAGGGAGAGGGTGACAGTGGGTGGTAGTCTTCCCAGACAAAAGAAGGTTAAAAACAGATCAGAGCAGAAGTAATGAGTCTGGCTTTGCATAAAGGGGTTTAAGTTTCCTGTGGGACATTTGAGGGGAGAAGAGAAGACAGCTGGGCACAATGAGCTGAACCTCTGCAGAGAGGTTCAGAGAGACTAAGCGACTAGTCTGTAATTACACAGCCATAGAGCAAAGGAGTCAAATTCACATTTCGATTCCTGTGACCCCCAAGTCCAGTGCTAATTCCTCTGCCCCAGGATGCACCAGCTTCTGCAAGGGTTGGGGGTAAGGGGTTGGGGAGGAGGAGGAAGCAGGGGTCTGAGTGTTTCTGTCTCCTCTCATGTACCTTCTGCCTGAAGTTACCTTTGCTCAGAACTTGCAGGCAAGGACATTTCTAGCTGGAGATACTGAGAAATGGGGAGAAATTCTTGTTTCTTGGTAACCACAAACCCTTAAACAAAGTTGGCTGCTCAGTCAGCACATGTGGTTGTCAGCATGTGAGGATTTCAACAGCCATGTCGTCAGCAGGCTCTGCTGCTCTGATTGCCCCCACGGACTCAGGAAGTGAAGCCTTGGGGACCCTTCCTACCTGGCACCCTTCCTTTACCTGCTTCCCTGGCTAGCTGCTTACATTTTGTGGAGGATTCTGCCCCTAAGTGAGCTGAAGTGGGGTAGGCCACAAGTACCAGGTGTGAACTAAGGTTTCCACTGTAGTAAAATAAAGCAAGCTGAGCTGAGGTCACCATGGGCCAGGGTCAAGGGGGTGTCCCAGTCTAGTATGCTAAAGAGACATCTTGTGTTAACTCCAGTAATTGTTTCCTTGAAGAAGGGTGCCCACTTTGCTGTCTCTCAGAGTGTGAGAGTATGTGTGCACATGTGTGTTTATCTCCCTCTCCAGACTTGAAGGGTCCGTGGAGACCCAGGCTGGATGATTTGGCTGCTTGGTTGTGTTTGACTCATATTTGTGAAATAAACAGATGAATGAGTGAATGGATGAATGCCTCCTAAGAGCCCAGTCCTGGGCCTCCTGATGCAGGCAGATCTTGTCTGTTTATTGAATGTGCTCCCAGTTTGCAGTGTCACTTTCAATTCTGCAATTGGGTATGTGTGTGTGTCGGGGGAAGGCACTTAAAGGTTCCTTTCTCTCCCAGGAAACAGATGGTAAAATCACTTAAAGCACTGTTGCTTCCCCCAGCACCCTCCTGGCCCCCACCAGCCCCAGTCCCAGACCCTTCTTTCCTAGGGCTGAAATGAAAACAGCACAAATGGGCTTGAAGTTCACTTTTCTAGGCTTCTATCTCTCTGGGCACCAAATTGGGTGAATCAAAAGTCTTTATGTAGTGAGCTGTTTGCCTCTGCTTTCCACAAACTTTTTAGTCTCCCTCAATCCTGTGCCCATTTTTCTTTTGTTTTTTGTACTGGGGATTAAACCCAGGGATGCTCTACACCCCATTCCTTTTTTATTTTTTGGGTACTGGAGATTGAACCCAGGGGCGCTTAACCACTGAGCCACATTCCTAGACCTTTAAATTTTTTTTTTTTTTAAATGTTGGGAGAGACTTGCTAAGTTGGTGAGGCTGGCTTTAAACTTGTAATCCTCCTTTCTCAGTCTCCCGAGACACTGGATTATAGGTGTGCTCCACCACATCAGTCCCCACATTCTTTTTTTTTTAATACTCCAAGTGCACATTTTCAGGCTGTAGCTTAACTTGTCCTAAGTCAACCTAATGACAACACATTCCTAACTGTATGCCAGGCACTGAACCAGGTGGGGAGGGGGACAAACACTGGTGAACAAGATAGGAAACCCAGCCTCTAGGGTTCAGAGGTGATTGAGAGAAACAAGCCATTCTATGGCCCCAGCGTGGAGAGAGATTCCATGTGGTGGGAGCTTGAGAATAGGTGGCTTTACGGGAAGGCAGCTAGTGAGTTCCAGGCATTTTCCCTTTCTGAGTAGGTGTAAGGCATTCGTGTGGAGGGAATGCAGGAGGAAGGGCAAAGTGGGAAAGAGCTGGACATATAAGGGCAGGGAGCAGTGGATGCAAAACCTGGGAGGTAAAACTGCAAAAGCAGGTGGGGACTGTTGCTGGAGGATCTTGAATGCCAGGTTAGAAGGCTGATCCAGAGCGAGTGGGCAATAGAGAGCCATTGAAGGCTGTGGGTGGGAATAACAGATGCTGAGCTGTGCTTTTAGAAGGCTAATAGAGCTTCGAGGAGGGTGCTCTGGGAAAGGGGGGGAGCAGAAACAGGTCAGTTGAAGGTTTGCTACATCATCCGAGGGAGCCACATTGGGGCTGTGGGGACAGAGGCAGTAAGGTGGAAGGATCAGGCGCTTTGATGTGTTGATTTGCCTTTCCCACTTCTCTTTTTGTTTTCTGGTTTTTTCCAAGTTTGTGCAAAGAAGGAAATCCACAAACAAGAATATCCTCCTTTCTCTCCTGCTTGGTCTTCTGGTTCTCTTTAGTCTCATTGTTCTCCTCTGCCTGGGAGGCTGAGGCAGGAGGATCACTTGAGCCCTGGAAGACCCTGTCTCAAAAAAAAAAAAAATAAATAAATAAAGAAAAAAGAAAAAAGAAAAAGAAAACCAAAACCTAGACAAACAAAAATAATTTTTTCTTCTCTGCTGGGTCTTAATGTCTGGGACCCTCTGCAGGGTCTCTGGTTGGGGAATCTTTTCTTGCTCCATCTTTGTCTCCAGACACCCAATCATGGGATCAGCTGCTGAGCATGTGGTATGTCAATGGATTGTAGAAGCCCCAATTTCTCTCTAGATGTTGCCTAGCTGGAGGGACCTACAGGAGGAAGGGAGACCCTGCCCTTTCCCTGGGGAGTCCACTTTGAGTGGGCCCACAAGACTTTCACTAGCAAAACAACTAGAGAAGACGGAAGGCTGGAATGTTCTCCCAGCTAAGAGAGGACCAGAAACTCTCTCTCTGTCCCGCTGGTAGGTGCAGAAGTTGTGTCGCCTCGGATTTTGCTTCAGTCTAGGGTTTTGCTCTAGCGGGTAGAGGAGGGAGAGCTAGGATTGTTTGGTGCACCGCAGTGCTTAGATTCCCTTGATTTGCAGCCTGGGAGCAGAACACAGAGAGAACTTCAGTTTTTTTTTCAGGGCCAAGAGGAGGGTGCAGTCTGGGACTTCATTGTTCTTTGCACCTCCAGGGCCCTGGACAGGCAGCTCATCATCGCTGTAATGTTCACTGCGCACGCGAGAGATGAGTCCCGTGTACCTCCAAGTCCCACCTGCGAGGTGGGGTTCCTCGGTCCTCACGGGCTAAGCCTTTCTGGCCCTCCCTCGGGGGCGGGGCTCGAAACCCTTGGGCTAGATTCTTGCCCCCAGGCCCCCGAGTCCTTCACCTACCCAGCTAGGGACGTGCCATGGGACAGCTGATCGCCAAGTTGATGGGCATCTTTGGGAATCAGGGTAAGAGGCACATAGGGCATCCCAGCAACCGCTTTGATCCTGTGGTCTCCTGAGGCTCCCTCAATAGTCTGGGCAGACAGGCTGAGGGACCTCGGACTACTAGAGTTCGCGTGCGTGCTCCTTGCCTGCTCCACGGTCTCCTCTGTTCTTCTCCCAGCCGGTTTCTCCCGGGCTCCATGCTTCCGTGAGTCCCCGGGTGCGCTGCAGAGTTGGGCGAGTCTCCTTCCTCCCCGCTAAACCGCTACGGGGCAGGGCTGGGGGAGCCGCTTTCGGTTTCCTGCAATTACCGCTTGGATCTTTCTCCAGACCCCTCCTCTTGGCAAGCCCAGAGCACCCCGGACCCTTCAGGCAATCGCTTCTAGAAATTTGGAGGGAGGTGGGACTCGGTTCTCTTTGCCACTGTGCGGGAGTGGTGCAGGCGTCCTCCCGGCCGATTGGGAAGTAGAAGTGGTGCGGTGGGCAGAGATCCCTCGGCCAGCTGGGAACACTGGTCTTCCTGGGAGCCCTGCTGGGAGCACACAGTCCCTTGGACATCGGGTTTGGCTCTGACTCTGACCTTCCCCGGATGCCTCCAGAGCACAAGGTCATCATCGTGGGACTGGACAATGCAGGAAAGACCACCATTCTCTATCAGTTGTAAGTGACTTTTGGGTGGGGAGAGAAAGGGCTGGGCCCCCTACCAGACTGACCGGCATTTGGACCAATAGTTGGAGCCCTTCCTTGGGTTCCCCGGCTCCCCAGTAACGGAGAGCAGTGATGAGGGAAGCTGGTGTGACCCTCCTGGTATAGAGACGGTGGGCCTGGCTTTGGGATCCTGCACTGTATGAGCAGCCCCAGTCCCCATGGTTCCTGCCGTCTGCCCCTGCTGGTGGCAGGTCCTTTTTTCTCAGTCCTGCTCCTTACCTTTAGCTTTGACCTCCAACTTGAAATCCAAAGCCATCAGCTCCAGGAGCGCCAGCACTGGGTCTGGTTAGGCTCCTCAGTTTCTGCATAAGACTTGTAGCTGAGTCAAAAGCCAAATGTGGGAACTTTCCCAGTGTTCAGTCTGGACAACATCTCTACCGAGATGGAGCCACCAAAGTACTTTATTTACATAGGATATATATTTTTTCCCCTGGAAAAGTAATAAATGTAAATGTTTTTCTAAAATTAGAGAAAACGCCTGTAATCCCAGCAGCTCCGGAGACTGAGGCAGGAGGATCCCGGAGTTCAAAGCCAGCCTCAACAATTTAGCAAGGCTCTAAGCAACTCAGAAAGACCCTGTCTCTAAACATATATATGTGTTTTGAACCTCTCTCTCTCTCTCTCTCTCTCTCTATATATATATATATATATATATATGTGTGTGTGTGTGTGTGTGTGTGTGTGTTTGTGTGTGTGTGTGTGTGTGTGCTGGGGATGTGGCTCAGTGGTTAAGAGCCTCTGGGTTCAATCCCTGGTACAAAAAAAAAAAAAATCACACAAGAAAAAAATCAAACAGCACAAGAGTGCATGGTGAGAAGTAATTTTCCCTCTCACTGTAGATTTTAGTTTTCCTCCTCCCAGGTGACCACTCTTTCAACTTCCTGGTCACCTTTCAGAGACATTCTTCACTATAAAAATGTGGATGTTTTCTACATATGTTACTTAAACAAGGTAGCTCATCTCTCTGATGGCCCTCACTTTTATCTGTCTCATTAAAAAAAAGTATATTTTTTTTAGTATTAAACAATACCTTTATTTATTTATGGGGATTGAACCCAGGGGCACTCAACCACTGAACCAGGTCCCAAGCCCTTTTTTGTATTTATTTAGAGACAGGGTCTAAACTGAGTTGCTTATCACCTCACTGTTGCTGAGGCTGGCTTTGAACTCATGATCCTCCTGTCTCAGCCTCCTGAGCCGCTGGGATAAAAGGCCTGCACCACCTCGCTGGTTTATCTGTCTCATTTTCCTCAGCCCTTGAGATTCCAAGTGTGGTCCACAGACTGGAAGTGGGAGCATGATCTGGGAGCTTGTTAGAAATGTAAAGTCCTGGGCAGCCCAAACCCACTGGATCAAATCTGCAGGTGATTCAACTTCAAATTTAAATTTGAAAAGATAGTTCTAATGTCCCCCACACCCCAGGGCTAAGCCTGGACAACACTGGGGTCTCATTCTGTTTTCATTTCCCCTTGCCCAGGCAGGTGCTTGGTCTACCTGGGTTGGAGTTCTTAGTTAGACTCAGCTGCCCAGGAAGTGGACCAGAGCTGGAGACCAGAGCTGGGAGGGGGCTAGGCCGTGGTCTTAGAACCTTTTTCTACCTCCTCAGTTTGACCAATGAGGTGGTTCACACGTGTCCCACCATTGGCAGCAATGTGGAGGAGATTGTTCTTCGGAAGACCCACTTCCTCATGTGGGACATCGGGGGACAGGAGGCTCTGCGCTCCACCTGGAGCACATACTACTCCAACACGGAGGTGAGGAGGTCGCCAGGGCTGGGGGATCTCCAAGGCAACTGTGTGATGTTAGCCAGTGCCCCCTCTTAACCTAGGTTCCCCCTCTGTGAAGTGACCTAATAATGACCTCTCTGAGTCACAGTGAAATTAAATAACACTCAGACAAGAGGGAAGGCATAGAGGCCAAACACTTAACCCAGTGCAGTGCCTGTAAAGATTTTTTTTTTTTTAATCCTGCCTGTCTGCTTCTGGCAGTTTCCAGTCTGATGCACTGGATAGCATGAGCCCTTAGTCTCTGAAGGCCTTGTCTTCTCATTTGGCAGAAGTAGAACAAGAGACAGAGCTGCCACTCATCAGCTGTGTGGCCAAGGGCAAGATTCCTAACCTCACTGAGGTTACCCTCCTTTGTAAAATGGAAGTAATAACAGCACCAAGCCCACAGCATTGGTGTGAGGCCTAAATGGAGTCCTGAGCACCCAGGGCTTAGCACGGCCTCTGGTACACAATCAGGTTTGCTCTGTATTTCCTTTGTCTGGATAGAAAAGCCAATTAAAATGGGACCAGATTGTGAGATCATGAGGCAGCTCGGTTCCTTTTCTATGGAGCTGGCATGTGGGCAGTTCAGAGGACAGTGGGCAGGAAATACTTTCACAAAGAGGAAGCCGGCTCCTTAAGGCTCCCCTCTGCTGGCCAGTTCGTCATCCTCGTGATTGACAGCACAGACCGGGATCGGCTGCCCACCACTCGGGAGGAGCTGTACAAGATGCTGGCCCATGAGGTAAGCTTCCTGGGGTTCTAGCTGTGTGTCCTCAGGCTAGTCACTCAGCTTCTCTGAGGTCCATTCCTGACATCCTCGTCATTATCCCAGCAGTGTGGGGAGGGCTAGTTTATTGAAGATGAAGGATGACAGTGCCCTCAGAACAACTGGTCACAGGAGTCAGAGTTGCTGGTTTAAGGTCTGTCCCCTCTTCTTGCTCGTGGATTCCTACCTCCTGAGGTTGTTGTAAGGATTATAGGAGCTGGTTGCAGGCATCCCATGACTTGTCGCTGTCATCAGATGTGGTTGCTACTGTTGGAGTGGGGCCCACATGGGAGGCTGGGGCAGGAGTGGAGAGGACTGGCAGGAGGAGGAAGGAGGCTTCTGGCTGACAGGGCTGTGGCTCTTCTTCCCCAGGCACTTCGAGATGCTTCAGTGCTGATCTTTGCCAACAAGCAGGATGTGAAGGACTCCATGACCACGGTGGAGATCTCCCAGTTCCTCACTCTCAGCGCCATCAGAGACCATCCATGGCATATACAAGGCTGCTGTGCCCTGACTGGGGAAGGGTTAGTGGCTGCCAGACCTGGGTCTGGCCCACCAATGGACAAGTGGTCACCAGAATCCCTCTCCTGTCTTGGTCCTGTCAGACTCTGGCTCGTGGTTGGTGACTGGGCCAAATCAGATGGAAAGGGGTTGAATTGTTGAAACTGGGTGAGAGGGTAAGCTGTGCGTCCCCATTCTTCAGGGCCTTCTAATGGAGAGGTAATCCTCACACAAACACAAGGGCCAGGTGGGTCTGATTTAGGTCTGGTGGTCAGGGATGGCCTCTCCTAGAGATGTGGTTTTTGAGCTGAGACCCAAACGAGACCCAAATGAAGAGAAAGAGACAGTCATGGAAAGACCTAGGGTCCAAAGACCTAGGGGATGGAAGTACTAGGGATTGAACCCAGGGATGCTTAACCACTGAGCCACATCCCCAGCCCTTTTTTCTATTTTATTTAGAGACAGGGTCTTGCTAAGTTGCTTAAGGCCTCACTAAGTTGTTGAGGATGGATTTGAATTTTCAATCCTTCTGCCTCAGCCTCCCAAGAGACTGGGATTACAGGCGTGTGCCACCATCTTTGAATTTCTGCCAAGAGTCCATGACACCATTCCATCAACAGATTTTTATCAAATACCTACTTTGTGCCAGTAGTGTTTTGGGTATTGGAGAAATAGCAGAAAACAAAATAGAAACTCCTACCTTCATGGACCTGGATTCCAGTGGGGGAGACAGACAATAAGCCAAAAAATATGTTTAGTAAGTTAAAAAATGATAAATGTTGTTGAGCACGGTGGCTCATGCCTGTAATCCCAGTGGCTCAGTAGGCTTAGACAGGAGGATCAATGGCAAGTTCAAAGTCAGCCTCAGCAAAGGGGAGGTGCTAAGTAACTCAATGAGACCCTGTCTCTAAATAGAATACAAAATAGGGCTGGGGGCAGCTAGGATTGTGGGGGCAGCTAGGATTGTGGCTCAGTCGTAGAGCGGTTGCCTGGCATGTGTGAGGCACTGGGTTGAATTCTCAGTATTGCACATAAACAAAGAAGGTAAAGGTTCTTTGACAACTAAAAGAAAAAAATTTAAAAAGAAATAGGGTTGGGGATGTGGCTCAGTTTGGTTTGAGTGTCCCTGGGTTCAATCCCAGGTACCAAAAAGATAACCGTTATGTTGGGGAAGGAAAGGGAGATTGGTAGGAATGTTGCAATCTTGGGGAGTGGGGAGGGTACAGGGGCACTTAACTACTGAGTCACATCCCTAGTCCTTTTTATTTTTTATTTGGGTCTCAATTGCTGAGGCTGGTCTTGAATTTATAATCCTCCTGCCTCAGCCTCCTAAATTGCTGGGATTACAACTGTGTGCCACCTCACCCAGCCACAATTTTAATTTTTGAGATGGGGTTCTCACTTTGTTGTGGAGGCTGGCTTTGAGCTCCTGGGTTCAAGCAGTCCTCCTGCCTCAGCCTCCCCCAAATCTGGGGACTATAGGCAAGTGTTACCATGTGTCCCCAGTTGAATATTGCAGTTTTAGATGAGATATTCAGGGAGGGGCTGCTGAGAAGGTTGCTCTTGAGCACACACCTACATTGTGGACTGGACCACCTAGGGAGGGCTCTCCCTTGAGCCTATAGAATTTCCTTTTCTTTCACCTCTCAAGTGGAATGGTAGCAGCTGGAGACCCAGATGTCTTTTTTTGTTGTTTATTTTGTTCTGTGGTGCTGGGAGTTGAACCCAGGGCCTTAGACATGCTGGGTGAGCACTCTACCACTGAACTACTCCCAACCTCGTAGATATCTTTTTGAAAAAGAGGAGACTATAGGCAAGTCAATACAAGGGCTCCCACATTTCTGGGAGTGTACCTGTCTGTGCTGGATCAGGAGGACCCTCCCCTCCCCTTCCCCTAGCTCACAGTCAGTTCAATGCAACTAGCATTTTCTAAGTACTCACCATGTCATCTCTGTGCCAGGTGAGGACTGGGGACAATACAGAGATGGCCAAGGCTCCACCCTTGCTCTGGAGTTGCTTAGTATCACACAGGAAAACTTGCATATGGAGCTTCTTCCTAGGCCTTTGAAGTCACCCTGCCACTTCCCCTAGTGACAGAGCAGGTGGGAGGGGACATGAGAGGCTTACCTGAGTTACTACTAAGGCATCCAGGAAGTTGGATCTCTAGGATGGTTTCTCCAAGAAGCCCTCCCTGACTCCCAGGCATCTGGAACCTTCTGTATATCTTCTTAACTTTAGTCCCAGTATGTAGCTATAGGATTATTTGCTGGACCATTTGCTTAGTCTCTATATCCTCTTCCATGCTGTAAGCCTCAGAGGGCAGGATGGCTTCTCAAGAGTCACTTCAGCCCCTGGGCACAGTGGGTACTTGATGCATTGCAAGAACTCAAATCAGTTTGTGGATTAAATGAATAGATGTAACTTTGGCTACTCTCTCAGTCTGCTCTGGGCAGAGGCCTTGGGCTTGATGGCCATCTTCTTTATGGGAAATGCTGATCCTTGCCCTGTTTCTCCTCCCGGCAGGCTGCCAGCAGGGCTCCAGTGGATGCAGTCTCAGGCCACTGCCAAATGATGTCCCAGCCTGAGGCCAATGAGACATGTTGGGGGTTCTGCATGGTCAACATGGGTGAAAAACTCAAATGCCACTTTACCTTTCTATGATTCTCTGGTGGGAGCAGAGCCAGCTACGGACAGGTAGATTGCCACCATCTACCCAAGCCTTCATTGAGGAGCAGGACTGTAAGTCCTGGATTGATAACAGACAGGACAACAGAAAAAACTGCCCCTCACTCCATGGATGCAAGTGTCCTTCTTGGAGACATCAGGGAAGCTGTGATGTGCTGGGGGATTAGAAAGTGGAGCCCTCTCCTTCTCAGCCCTCAACCTGTCTGTAGGAAACTCGTGGGAAGTAAGAGGTCGTTGAAATTGCTTCTCATTTCTTAACAATATCCACCCTCTCCAGCTTTCTAGAAAGTCTCTCATTTTTGTCCCATACGCTTTGAGATTCCAGAAGGATGAAGAAGGTGGCTTGGAGGCAGGAGGGTAGGGCCAAAACCTGGGAGGGGTAGGAACTTCCCACTCCTTCTGAGATGCTGACTCTGACTGCAGTTTAGGGGCTGTAAGCCCCCCCCCCCAGTGGTATTCCCTTGGCTCTCAGTGTCCTTCCAATGTGAATCCCACTCCTCCTAATTGTTCCAGATTCCTACAGGACCTGCTTATTTTGTTTTTGTGTGATGACTTTTTAAATATTGCATTGATATTTTAATAAAGGAGTAATAAATGTCATCAAAAAATGTTCCATCTTATTTCTGCAAAACTCCCAGAAAGTTCTCTGGCTAGGAGAATGGCTTCTTGGCTCAGTGATCTATCACCAGGCTGGAAGGCACTAGTACCTGATAAATCAGGACTGGGAGCTAAATCAGGACTGGGAGCTTTTGACTGGGCCTAGGGCCCGGGCTTGGTTTGATTCCGATCCATGGAGAAAAGAAGGAGGGACTCCCAGGTTTGGAAAAGTCCAGGAGTCTTCTCTAGGTAGAGCTGGAGACAGGATAGAGACCAATATTGCCCTTCTATATTCACGGAACAGGGCTATTTCCCTTGAAGATCTGGAATGATCCTGGTGACAAGTAGGTCTTAAACTTGTGATCTTTCCAAGATATGATTATTGGAGAAAGAACTCAGGAATTTTAGCTGCACTCATTGTATATTTTTATTCTGTGTTCTCCTTAATAAAAGGATAATCTGATTCAGACGAAAAATGTAGAAGAAATCAATCTTGCCACGCCCTTATTCCATACAAATTCATTCTAATGAACCAGGTAAAGCAAGTGGGGGTATAGCTCAGTGGTAGAGCATTTGACTGCAGATCAAGAGGTCCCCGGTTCAAATCCGGGTGCCCCCTCGCCTGCTTGAACCTTTTGGATTTTGTTCCCCCATTCACTTTTGAGGAATTGTGTGACGGACTCGAGGCAGGAGAGGAGCAGAACCCCTCCGGGGGGTTACCCTGTGTTTTTCAAGCAGGTGAGAAAGTAATGGACCTTGCCGGTCGCTTAGACTATGTCGAAGGGCGGATTGCAGGGCGGGTGGGGCGAGTTGCTCAGGCCGACCGGGAGGTTATATGGGACAGTCCCCTCAGGTGCAGTAGGGCGCCGGCGGTGCACCCCGGTTGCAAGCGACCCCGACGGCTCTCTGTCAGGAAGGGGGCTGGGCTCGGTCTGGGGAAAGAAGGCCCGGAGACGCCGCGTGAAAGTGTGGGAAGGAGAAAGAAACGCCGAGAAGCAGTAGGGAGCTTCTGCGGGACCAGAGAGTGGGGTCCCGGCCCAGAGGAGCGCCCCCGAAATGAGGACTCTTGAAGGCTCTTGAACGTCTTCTCCTGCACACCCTGTTTCCATTTTTCTTAGACCACCAGTAGGAATCTTTAGCTCAGAGCTTCAGGCAACACACCCTCTGCTTCCATGAAAGTAGTCGGGGGTTTTTATTCTATTTTTTGACAAACATCAGACACTACTTCTTTTTGCTATAGTGCGCGACTGCGCCTGCGCAAGACTAGCACTATGATGCCTTCCGCGCGGGCCGACCGGCAGAGGGGGTATAGCTCAGTGGTAGAGCATTTGACTGCAGATCAAGAGGTCCCCGGTTCAAATCCGGGTGCCCCCTACCTTTTTTATAGGTCCATGTTGCTTCAAAACTGCTTCTTGGCTCTTCCACACCTTTTATGTTACTATGTCTTTCGCCACCTGCCTTTGGGGCAGTCGAGGAGCGGTGGTGAACTCAGGAAGTGGGAGCTTCTAGAGCAGTGGCTTTGTTGATGTGGTCCAGGACACAGCCACCGCACCTGGGTGCTCTTAAGAAACGTCGATCCCCGGGTCTCATCCCATAACCGCTGAATTAGAAACTTGGGGCTGGAGTCCAGGACTCCGTTAAGCGCTCCAGGTGACCCTGATGTACGCTCGAGTTCTACAATCTTAGAGGTTAAAAAATGTGCACCTCGTTTGCTTCTAATATCTCTTAAGCTGCTGTTTCTGCCTGAGCCAAATCAGAGACCTTATAACACGGACCGCGGGCACTCGAGAAACGCACATGTACGGAGACACCGGGGCCGGACCTGGAAGTCCATCCTGGGACCTCTCACTCCAACCTCGAGGTAGGGACGAGCAGCTAGGGACCCTAGTGTCGCGAGCTTGGTAGGCACAGAGCCTGAGCTGGCCGGAAAATGCACGGGAACCACAAAATACTACGTTGCTGCTCCTCGCGTGGCCACTGGAGGGTAGCAGGAAGCCGCAGCTGGAAACTGCAGCTTATTGGATTCCTCGGAGCGTCGGTCAAGTTGGGATTTAAGTTAGACATCACGAAGAACTCACTGGTAGGCAGGCTTACTTCTCCCATTGTAAGTGGAGAGAGGGTTTAGGGCTGGAAGAGGTCGCCTCTGGGATCTTGGGTCCTGAGGAATTGGGAGGAATTGGGATTCTGAGAGATTAAAGAGCCTTTAATTCCCGTTTCCTTCCTCAGGTCTAGTCTACTTGCTTCCTCCAGCCGAACTGTCTCTTGTCCTGTCCACAGCTGTATCCCTCCTTTTAGGGACTCTTCCCCATGGAGCTACACGTCCATAGTCTTCCTCTCTGCAATATTCCTGGTCCTAGACCCCAGCCCTGTAGCAGTCAAGGAGTCCCTCACCCCTCGCCTACCCCGGGCTCCTTGCCCTCCCCGAAGTAGGTCAGAGGCACCTCCGCGTCCTGACCTGATTCGCTGCTGTCTATTAAACCTCCTAAATTGCGGGTATTTTTATTCTGATATGGAAGAAAAAAAGAAAAACCTCTCCCCAGAGCCTGATGTGCGGTGGGGGACACTGGCCGGCTCTGGAGCTGGCTTTGAAGATTGACTGGCTCTGGCCTCAGGGGCCTCCAGAGCGGCGCGTGCCTCAGTTGCCTTCTTGGGGACAGGGGTCCAGGTTATTTCAGGGTGGGGGTGAGCCAGGCCCCTGCTCCCCAGGGGTGCTGGGCTGGAGGGCAAACCCTGCTGGAAGTGGGGTGTGGAGGGGCACGATGGGAGGCCGCGCAGGGGAGAGGCCGGGTTCTGGCCACCGGGGGAGATGCGCTGGAGTAAAACCTCGGAAACCTACAGACTCCGAGGAGCAGCTCAGAAAGTCGCGCTGCCTGGAAGAGGCGGGTGGCAGGAGCCCACGGCCATGGCAAGGGCGCTTCCTGGGGTCTCCCTCCTGGGACTTCTCTCCCGGCTTTCCCTGGGGGCAGCAAAGGAGAGGAAGGGAGGTAGGGGCCAAGTGGGGGTGCAGGACGGCCGAAGGTGCCTAGGGGATCCTCCAGTCCAGGGTCCCCGCCGGTCCCCTCTGCTTTTGCATCACAAGTAGCTTCCGATCCTTGGGGAGTCTGGGAGGCTGAAGGCCGGGGGAGGCTGCGAGGCTGCGAGGCCGGGGAGGCTGGGAGGCTGGGAGGCTGGGAGGCTCCGGGCGCGGCGCCCCGCCCCGCCCTCCCCCGCCCCCCGGCTCCGGGTCCCCGGAGGCCGCGGCGCCGCGCTCTGCTCGCCGGCCGCCCGCTCGCGCTCCTGCCGCTCCCGCCTGCGGACCGCGCGCCCCCGCTCGGCCCCCTCCTCGCAGCCGCCGCCGCGAGCCGCCCGGGGCGGGTCCCCCACCACCATGCGGGGCGAGCTGTGGCTCCTGGTGCTGGCGCTCAGGGAGGCGGCCCAGGCGCTGAGCCTCCAGCCCGCGGCAGGTAGGACTGGCCCCGGGAGCCGGCGGGCGACGTCTAGGAGGGGACACCGTCCGCGGGAGGCCGGGGCTGCGGCTGGGGCAGGTGGACGGGACCCCGCCGGCCCAACACCGAGGGCTTGAGGGAGGGCGGGGCGCTGGACAGCGATGCCGGACCTCCGCTGTCCTCCTGGACGACGCCCCAGGGACCCCAGGAGGGGCGACTCTGGGAGGCAGTGAACTGTGGCCCCAAAGGGGACAGTGAGGGAGTTCCGAGGGGCCCCTGTCACTCCGGGCGAGGCTGGCTTCTGCGGAGGGGGCCCGACGAGGCTCCTCTCCCTTCTCCGCCTCCTCCCGGCTGACCCCGGCCGAGTCGCGGTAGGCGGCCGGGCGGGAGCCGCCAGCGGGAGGGGACCCAGGCTCTCCCTGGGCAAAGGCAGCGGCGGCCTCACTTCTTTTCTCCTACCTGTTTGGAACCAGTCGAGAGGCGGGGGCCCAGGGAGACTCTACTTGTCTCTCCTCCAACCCCCAGCCTGAAGAGTCCCCCTGTCACTCCCTGGTCGCCTTTGGCTCTCAGCTGCCCTGGTTCTAGATAGGGGGCGGGGCTCCCGTTTGCACATTCCCTTTCCCCTATACCAGTTTCCCCAGATCATTTCTCCCACCTGGAAGTTCTTTCTGAGCTCTACTTTGAATCCCTCCTGTTATAAAGGAGGCCCATCTTTCAACGTATAATTTATGCTCTCCCTTCTCCTCATGCACCCACACTTTCTCTGGGGTTGAGGACAGGGGTCATTTTGCAGCCAAGCCCCTTGGCAGAGAAAACCAAGAAGAGATCTATGCCATACTGGTTTAGTGATGGAGGGCAATGTCCAGGGGGATGCTGTGTTTTGGTGGCTGTGCCTCAGGGCCGCACAAGCATCAGGCACAGAAGTGTCAGTGACAGTATTCTTGACTTCATGGACCCTGTATGTAGGTGACACTGGATTCCTTTAGAGAAGGGTATGGTGGAGGTGGCTGGGGGGTGATGAGGGGGTGCAGTGGAAGAGAAGTGTCCAGAGGCTGGGGGTGCAGAACCGCACAGGGCATGACCAGAGATTTAGTTTCTAGTCCTATTGTGTCACTTGCTGTGTGGCTTTGGGTGAATTACTTTCTCCCTCTGGGCCTATTTCTGCACTTATAAAGTGAGGTAGTTGACAAAATCCTTGACTCTTGGTTGTGGGATTATGAGGGGTCTTTTTTCTCTTTATTCCCCCCCCTTTCCTTCTTGGATGTATATAGGTGACATATACATACACGCGTACGTATATTATAAACAGGAAGGGATTAGACAGGTTAATTTCTGAGGTCCTTTGCAGCCCCTGCCTGGCACAGTCTTCTGAACTGAGGGTGTGACCAGGTTGATAAATTGGATCGGAACCTCCGCCTGGGTTGTGAGGACCATGGAGTTAGTTGGGTGATAGGGGTGGCCAGATGCAGGCCTGGCTGAGTACCATCTCTTCAAAATTGGGTTGGGATGGGAGACAATGGGGAGGCCAGGAGGAGGGGCAGCAGAGACTTGAATTACTTCTCGAAGGAGAGGACGCTCTGTCTTCTGGACTTTGACAGATTCAGCTGACAAAGTGCACTTTACTGCAGCAGGAGAGATTAGGGTTAGACCCAAGAAGCTGGAGGGAGCCACTGTTGACTCCCAGTGCAGGAGGCAGGGCCTGAAGAGAGGCAGGGGCTGTATTTAAGAGATCCTCTCAATGGAGCACTAGTGTCCCCTGCAGGGGCAGCCAGGAGCAGAACCCCAAGGGGACCAGGCAGCCAGCCCCAGGCTCTGGGGTCTCTGGGCTGGTGGGAGCCCTCGCTGTGGCTACTTTGGTGGAGCCTTGGCACTAGATCTGCTGTGACAGCTGCAGCAGGAGAGATCAGTGACCAGAGGTGTAGCCAGGCAGCAGGGGAGACTAAGAGGCCAACACAGGCAGACAAGCAGACGGACTGAAAGGAAGATGGCTTTGGGGTGCACAGTGTGGCTGTGGGCACTGAGGAGCCTACAACAGTGTGGGAGGGACAGGCAGCTGCAGCTAGTATGCGGGAGGCCAGGCCCAGCACAGTCCCACGACCCCAATGACTTCCTCCTTTCTCTGAGCCTCCTTTCTCTAGAATGGAGGTTGGCCCATGCTGTCCCTAGTAACCTGTTTGGCCATGATCTGCTTCCAGCTTCCTTCCTGCCCACTGGGGACTTTTTTTTCCCCTACCCACTGGGGACTTTGAGCAAACTAAAGTCAGACTTCCCACCGCAGCCAGCAGCCCCTCCCCCACCCGCGCATCTCCTGTCCTCCCCAGGTCCAGCCCCTTCCAGGATGCTGCCCCTCAGCTGCTCCTCAGCAGGGTCTCAATCAGCTCCAGGGGCCCCTCCCCACAGAGGACCTGTGGGCCCTGCGAATGTGTCTGCCTGTTCACTGTGACCTGCCCAGCACCTGGCACAGTGCCCATCTTACAGATGTGGAAACCGAACCTTAGATTTAGTAAATTTGTCCAGTGTCACAGGCAGGGTCGGCCTCGAGCTTGTCTGAATCCCAGCCTTTACTTGCTGACTGCTGTGGTATGACAGTGCGGTGTTCAGTGAGTCTGTGTCCCAGGGAAAGGGTGGGTCTCCTCCATCCTGTGAACCTCAGGTACTCAGGGCATCCCAGTTGCTGCCTCTCCCATCCCATTGTCTCCGTCTGCTCACGGAGCATGTGTTCTGCCAGGCACCTGGCACCTGTCACAGGCACTGAGTGTCGTGATGTACCAGGATCCCAGCTGGGATGGTGCAACTGGCAGCTGGGGTGGGGGGAAGAGGTGCTGGGAGAAGAAGTAACATCTTGGAAGACTTGAGGAGAGAGCAGGGACTTAGCAGGAGAAAGGCTTATTCATGGAGTAGCATGGTTGAGAAAATGGCCCTGTGGATCCCTGTGGTCAGAGCAGGAGGGCTCCTGCCTGGGGGAGGTGGGGCGTGCAGCGACCCAGTCACAAAAGGCCTCAAATCTGCCCGAGAGACACGGAGACGGGGATGCACTAGAGGGAACTGAGTTTGTCCTCTTGACCATTTGTTCTAGCTAGAGTGTGGGAGACTGGCTGTAGGGCGCAAAGGGTAGAGTCATGGTGGCCTGGACTGTGTGGTGGCCCTGGGGCTGCAATGGCAAGCTTAGGTGATGGGTGGGCTGAGCGTGGTTTGGCCCAGGTTCTGGGTGGTCTAACCTGGCCTCCTGGAGTCAGCTTGAGCCCCGAACCCTGAAGCCAGGTATTGCTGGGGGGTATTGGTGTAGAGGCAGTACCCCCAGACCACACCCCTGTGTTCCAGGGGATGTGGTCCCCCAGGGCACCTCCCAAGGTAGACCCAATGGCACCCAGGGTGGGACCTTTAGGAACCCAGCCCAGGTGCCAGTCTTGTCCTGGGGCTGCCCTTGCACTCTGGGGAACAGCCAGGGAGTTGCTGGTCGCTTCTTATTAGGTTTCATGTGGTTCTGAGCAGATTCTGGAGCCAGCCTGCCTGCTTCAAATCCTGCCACAGACTGGTTGTGGGACCTTGGGAGGATCCTTAGGACCTTTGTGACTTGGTTTCCCCACTTATGAGATGGATCTAAAACTAGTACCTATCTCATGGAGTTGGTGGGGGATTAAACGAGTTAATGTGTTCAGAGCCCGAGGATGGTGCAGGGGGAGGAGAAGTTTCCATTAGCTACAGCGTGATGACTACTGTTATCATGATGTCCCCTTAGACTGTACACTGCCCGGGCCACAAGTGAATGAATGGGTGAGGGAACGCATGTGTTCCAAAAGCTTCTTGCCATTGCACACGGTGGGACTCTCACACACATGGGCATGGAATGGGTACTGGGGAGGCAGAAGGTGGGACCAGGCGCACCCAAGGGCCAGGCAGATTTGCCACACGTGTGTGAGCACCTGGCGGGGAAGGGCAGTGGTTCAGGCCAGTCTTCGTGGGTGTGTCCACAGGTACGTGGGCCCCTGCTTTGGCTCCTCTCCTGAGTTAAGCCCACTGGGAGGAGGAAGGGAGGCAGATATGGTCTGGCTGGGGGGGGACCCTGGGGCCAGGCCAGAGCAGGACAGGCTCCTGGCTGTCTGGCATGGACCATGTGCCCTTGAGCCTGACCTCCAGCCCCACTTCCTGTTGCTCTCCTGATGGCTCCTGGCAACCTGGGCCTTGGGCACCTTTGTCATCCTCGTCTAACAATGGGGAAGCTGCAACCTACAGAGGTAAAGTGACAAGTCCAAGTCACCACAGCCTGTGGGAGGAGAGGCACACCCCGAGTCTCCTCCCTGTCCACTCTGCGGGGCTCCCCATCCCTCCCTCTGCCCAGGCCTCAGGCCTCCGCCATCCAGCGCCCTCCCTCTGGTGCAGTCCCAGGTTGATGACAGTTGCGGGTCTTTGGCATCCCCCTCTGAGCTGGCCGAGCTCCTCCACTTGTTCTGTCCATGCTCCTTTCTAGTCTGGCTCCTGCCAGGCCCCAGGGCTGCTTGCAGTAGGACTGGAGGAGCCCGAGGAGCCCGGCTGGCTGTGCAGCCCGGCACAAATAGTTCCTTCTCTGAGACAGCTGTGGGCCCCGCCCTCGGGGTCAAATGCTTGGCCCAGGGGAGGTGGGCAGCTGCCCTCCGGGCATCTGTAGACAGCCCGAGGGCATCCAGGGAAGGGGCCTGGGACTGCCCCTCTCCCCACATTCTCCAGGAGCATCTGGTTGTGATTAGGGAGAGAGAAGTGAGAGGGGCCCGGCAAGGGTCCAGCAAGCACCATAGCCAAGAATGACTTAATTGGATAAAATGTCTAATGACAAACCAGAGCCCCACAGCAGTGTCCTGGCCCCAGCCCCAGGCCTAGTGTTGGCCAAGCCTGTCTCAAATCTGCCCTTGCTGCCTCCTGCCTCCTGCAGCATCGTGTCCTTGAGAGGGCAGTGATTGAGCACTTACTGTTTGCAAGGTAGTGTTTGAGGAATGTGGAGAGAGTCCCGGGGATTCAGGTCTCCCAGGGAGATAGGAGCCTAGTCCTGCCACAGGGAGTTCTGGGAGGTGGAGTGGGTGAGGTAGAGGAGGAGGAGGGCATCTGACCCAGAGAGGGCCTGAGGTAGATGAAGGTCACACGTGCAGAATGTCCTATCCATCTGTCTGATAGTCTGAGTCTTACCCAGGGTAGGTGTGATAATTGGAATAACAATATGAGGCACAGCTCAGGGGGTACAATCTCTCTGAAATGGGAAAAGATGCTTTTGGTGTCATTTAGGATTAATTTAACAACCTAGAGGGAATTGGAGAGAACATGGAGTCTTGGAACGTGCTGCCTGAGCGCGGCCACTTGCTAATCCTGTGCCCGTGGCTGACGTGTCTAATTGATGGTGACAATCTTTCCTGCTAAACACAAATGAGGCCTCAGAATTCTTCTCAATTAGAGGGCTCCTGGTTGTCACTAATCAGTTGGAGAGGGCATTTGAGGTGAAACCTGTTCCCCGTTCTGGATGGTATCTAAGCCCCTTGTTTGACGGGATAGTGACTTGCCTGGGTGTTTGAAGGGAGCGTGAAGCTGAAGACGCAGTTCTCACTGGGGAGAAGGAGGGGTGATTTTGTTTCCTATGAGATGTTTGCAAGGTTGGGAGACATTTTCAGTTGTCGTAGCTTAGGGGCATGGGAAGGTCCTACTAACACCTAGCAGATAGAGGCCAAAGATGCTGCTAAGTACCCTCGAAGTACAGAAAAGGCCCTCCAACCCCAAAGAATTATCCAGTCCCACCAACAACTCAAAACAACTCAATTTAAAATGGACAAAGCTGGGCATGGTGGCACACGCCTATAATCTCAGCAGCTCTGGAGGCTGAGGCAGGAAGATCCTGAGTTCAAAGCCAGACGCTAAACAACTCAGTGAGACCCTGTCTCTAAATAAAATAGAAAATAGGGCTGGAGATGAGGCTCAGTGGTCGAGTGCCCCTGAGTTCAATCTCCGGTACCCACCGCCCAAAAAAGGGGAAAAGACTAAATAGACATTTCTCCATTTCTCCAAAGAAGATATACAAATAGCCAGTAAGGACATGAAAAGATGCTTAACTTCACTAATCGTTAGAGAAATGGAAATCAAAACTACACCCATCAGAATGGCTGCTACCACAAACCAAAATCAAAGCAGAGAATAGCAAGACTTGGTGAGGCTGTGGAGAGAATAAAAACCTTGTACGCTTTTCGTGAGAATACAGAACAGTTCAGCAATGGAAAACTGTAGGGGGGTTCTCCAAAAATTAAAATAGAATTACTATCTGATTCAGCAATCCTAATTCTGGATATATATGCAAAAGAGTTGAAAACAGCATCTCAAAGATGTCTACACACCTATGATCACAGGAGCATTACTCACGATAGCTAAAACATGCGAACTACCCAACTGTCCATTGACAGAGAATGAAGAGGCAAAATATGGTATATGCATATGCATGGGATATTATTCAGCACTGTAAAAGAAAAATCACCAGGTGTGGTGGCACACACCTGTAATCCCAGTGGCTTGGGAGGCTGAGGCAGGAGGATCAAAAGTTTGAGTCCAGGGACTGGGGTTGAAGCTCAGTGGTAGAGTGCTTGCCTAGCATGTATGAGGCCCTGGGTTTGATCCCCAGCACCACATAAAACTAAATAAACAAAATAAAGGTATTGTGTCCATCTACAACTAAAAATATTTTTAAAAAGTTCAAGGCCAGCCTCAGCAATTTAGCAAGACCCTAAGTAATTTAGCAAGAGCCTATCTCAAAATAAAACATTTTTCAAAGGGCTAGGGATATGGCTCAGTGGTTAACCACCCCTGGGTTCAATCCCCAGTGTGTGTGTGTGTGTGTGTGTGTGTGTGTGTGTGTATTTTTCCTGTTACATGCTACAACATGGAAGGAACTAGAAGACATTGTGCTAAGTAAAATAAGCTGAACACAGAAAGACAAATACTTAGGAATCCACTTATATTCTAACACTGAATCTAGGCAGTCAGGTTCTTTATCCCACAAATTTGAGGAATGAAATCCACGGATGTGAGGGTGAGATCAAAGTAACTGGATTTATTTGTGTAATAGAAAGAAAGCCTAGCTCCCTGAGGGGGTGGGCAGGAGGTATCTGTTGCCTTGGGGGTTTTTAAAGGTGTGTCTGAGGCCCCAGTGTAGATGATCAGTGGGGTGAGGGATGCAGCATGAACCAATCAAGCTCTCTAAGCTCTGAGTTTCATCAGCCAATCAGAAGTGCATAATTTCAATCCTTATTTACATAATTAAGAGGATGGGTCTCGAGTGGTTTTGGAAGGAGAAGGCATTTCGGTATGGGTGTGCTAGGGGTGAAGGGAGGGGCAAGCAAGGAAGGGCTGCTGGGGCTGCAGCTGTGGGGAACAGGAACAAGCACCCCACCTCAGAAGGAGGCACTGTGGTTAGGGCTGGCAGGGAGCAGCAGGTCGCAGGTGTCTTTCAGACCCGTGTTCCCTTCCCTCCTGTCCTCCAAAGGCTCTGATCCTATCTGCCTGTGGGAGACCCACCTTCCTGCCTCAACATGAGATACTGGGAGCAGTCAAAATAGGAGTGACAGACTGGAGTAGGGGGCTTGCCTAAGACTGGGGACAGGGCAGGAGGGGCCCGGAGTTTCAGTTTTACAAGATGAAAAGCATTATGGGGATGGATAGAGGTGATGGTACACTTACAGTGGTAATTCTTACGTGTATTTCACTATAATTTTAAAAATTAAAAGAAAAAAAAAGAATTATCCAGTCCAAGATATCAATAGTACCAAATTTGGGAAACCCTGAACTGGAAGGTCTCTGCTCTCTGGCTTCTAGTCCCCTGGAAGATAGGATTATGTAGCAATTTTGGCAGATAGATAAGGACCTGGTTTACATTTCAGAGAAGTGGTTCTCACCCTTTTCGCAGAGGTTGTCTTTTCTATTCTTCTTTTTTTTTTTCCCCCTGGTACTGGGGATTGAACCCAGGGGTATTCTACCACTGAACCACTGAGGTACATCCCCCGCCCTTTTATTTTTCTCTTTTCAGTCAGGGTCTCACAAAGTTGCAGAGGTGACCTTGAACTTGTGATCCTCCTACCTCAGCCTCCTGAGCCGCTGGGATTATAGGCATATGTCACTATGCCCAGCTTGTTGCAGAATCCTTTAAGACCAGGACTTCTCTAAATTTCCCCTAATTGTCTAAATTTCACCTGCAGGTCTTAAGAGACCTAATGCCCGGGACACATCAGACCTCTGGGGTAGGACCCAGACATCTGGAGGTTTAAAAACTCTGTAGGTGATTCCAGTGTGAGCTGAGGTGGAGAATAGTCACCCGATGGAGGCAGATCAACTTGGGTTTGAAACTTATTTCCATGTCTAATCCCCCGTGTGACCTGCAGCCTCTGAGCCTCTGATTCCTGTCTGCACAATGGAGTGCACTGTATTTACTGTGCAGCATTAATGCGAAGGTTCAGAGCAGTGTGTGCACGAGCTGCTTGAAATGGAACTGGGCACATGGCTCTCAGGACATGTTGGGTACTCAAGCATCCACAGAGTCAATGATGGCGTGGCATTGAGGCCTCTGCAGAAGCGGGTTGGTCTCCCTCGGATCTGTACCCTGCCCTGCTAACACTCAATTCCCTGCATCTTCCCCAGGTCACAATGAAGGCCGAGGCTCTGGATGGGCTGCCAAAGGGACCACACAGGGCTGGAATCAGAGAGTGCGAGAAAGGCAGGTGTCGGAGCCGAACAGGACCCAGCTGAGCCAGGACTTGGGTGGGGGCACCCTGGCTATCGACACACTGCCGGATAACAGGACCAGGGTGGTGGTGAGTGCTGATGAACGTGGAATGGGAGGGAAGTGTCCGTGGGGTCTCTCCAGATGCCCCACATGCACTGATCCGACAAGCAGCACACATATCACCAGGATCAGCCCTGGAGATTGGAGTGGAGACGGAGGGATGGGGGTGGGGTGGGGATGGAAGCAGAGCCCAGACGGGTCCTAACATCCCAGCATCTCAGAGCTTGATAGTCTGCCTACCTCCTCTAGGACCCAGGGAGGTAAAGTGACTTGCTTCAGATGCACAGCCTAGTAACAGGGTTCCTGACACAGGATTCTTCCATAACCCAGGGCAGAAAAAGCCGAAGGTGGTATTAATAGTTACATCTCAGCTTTCAGTTCAAGTCCTTCCCACCCCCATTTCTGCCCCATCTACAGATAGTGGTGCCCTCAAAGGTTCATGGCTGCAGAGACACAGTCTGTTCAACCTAAGGGTGGGACACACTGCCGTGGGCTGGAGAGAAAGCAGTTAGGCTACAGTTCCAGGACAGAACCTGCTGGGGAGGGGCCAGGGAGCAAGCCCTCCTCACAGCTCTCTGGAAAACTAAGCATCTCTTTCCTCCAGCAAATCTAGAATCGCTATTTTCTGGGAATGTGTGTGTCAGTGGGTGTGTGTTTGCATGTGTGTCTGAGGGGCTTTGTGTATTATGTACATGATCGTGTGTCTAGTGTTTATGTGTCTATGATAAGTGTGAGGGTGAGAGCATGAGTGTGCCCAGGTAGCGAAGAGGGTGGAGGCTCAGGATACAGAAAAACTGAAATGAGAAGTTGTGGTGTAAGTCTGTAATCCTAGCAACTCAGGAGGCTGAGGCAGGAGGAGCGAAAGTTCAAGGCCAGCACTCAGCAATTTAGCAAGGCCCCAAGCAATTTAGCAAGACTTTTGTCTCAAAATAAAAAATAAAAAGGGCTGGGGATGTGGCTCAGTGAGTAAGCATCCCTGATTCAATCCTCAGTACCAATAAATGAATAAATAAATAAATCATCAAGAAGATGCAGTTCTCAGCATATGCTTCTTTATTTTATGTTTTAAAAACAATTTTCTTAAAGAAAAACCTGCAGATAATAAAAAAGTTCAACTAGGAGGCAGGAGTATCATTTGAGCCCAAGAGTTCAGGGCTGGCCTGGGCAGCACGAGACCCCTGTTCAAAAGAAAGAAGGAAAACAGTGCTAGAAGCCTAAAACAAACAGAGCAGCCCCACCAGCCCCTACCTCAGACCACACTGCCCACCGTCCTCAGCAGGTGCCTTGCCAGCTGTCCTACAGGCGTCCACCTCTGTCTTTGCAAAGACTTTGCTTGTACTGCCCCTCTGTGTAGGTCAGTGTTAGGTCCCTGGGCTGCCTTTCATGGTGGATGAAGATTTGGCTTTCATATTCCCCCCATCCCCCAGCATTGCTGTGCTCCCTCTCTGAATCTTTTTGTTCAATCCTGTCTTGTCATTATCATTTGAATCCTGTTCACACCTGATCCAAGCAGGGTCATGTCCTTTTCCTGTACAATTTTCATTCTTCCTGGGACCCTGCTATGTCCCGCGCCCTTGGTTTCCCATGCTTACCTCTGGTGTCTTCTTACACATTATCCTTTGACTTCAAATATAATTCTCCGTGTGGCCAAACCTGTCAGTTCTTTTTTTTTTTTTTTTTTTTTGCCTCCTAGAAACCTCTTTCCAGGCGTCTGTTCTGACCTGGACGAGCTGTTCACTTGCCCCCCAGTTACCATCCCCGGGCCTCCTTCTCATTTGTCTGTGTCCTGTGTCAGATTCCCTGTTGGGAATTTCCTTGACCTTGTGTCTTCTCTTTCCTGCTTCACCCTCTTGGCTATTTAGTTTCCTAAACTAAACAAAAGAGAGGTTGCACAGGAGGGAAGAAATTCTCTTGAGAACTTGCAGGTCTGAAAATGCCTTATTCTGTGCTCTCGTTTGATCGATGGTTCTACTGAACATAGACTTCTAGATTAAAAATAGTTTTCTGGGGCTGGGGATGTGGCTCAAGCAGTAGCGCGCTCGCCTGGCATGCATGCGGCCTGGGTTCAATCTTCAGCACCACATACAATAAAGATGTTGTGTCTGCCGAAAACTAAAAAATAAATATTAAAATTCTCTCTCTCTCTCTCTCTTAAAAAAAATAATTTTCTGTCTCAAGTTTGACAGCATCTCACCATTGTCTTCTTGCTTCTGATGTCACTGTGGAGAGGTTTAGTGTCCTTCTTGTTCCTGATCTTTGTATTGACCTTGGGAAACTTTCAGGGTGTCCCCATAACCCCAGTCTTCTGAAAGTGCCGGGGCTGCCCACTTTGGCTCTTTCCTTCACCACACTGGACATTGGTAGACTGTTTCAATCTGGAGACTTACATTCCTCAGTTCTGGAAATTTCTTTTCTGCTTTCTTTCTTTGATAGTTTTTCCCACCCATATTCTCTTTTTTTCCTAGACATCAGTTTCTGGATGTCATTCTTGAATTTTCTTCTGTCTTCTATTATCTCCTTTGCATTTTTTTGTTGTTGTTTATTGGTTAGTTTGATTGTTATTATTATTGTTTCATGTTCGGGGGATTGTTTTCATCCTTATTTTTATAAAGTATTGTTTTTATTCCCTACATCATAGTTTTAATTTCTAAGAGCTCTATTATTTTCGGATAATTTTCTCTTAAGAAAGCTTCTTGTTCTTATGTCATGGATGAAATATCATCTCTGAGAATATTTAAAAAGTTATGAATTTTTTTTTCTGTTCTCCGTATTGTTTCTATTACTGGTTTTTCCTTCTATCTTGGGCTCTCAGATGGCTTCACACCACCACTGATCCTATCTTTATTTAAAATTTTGATATTGTGCTCATCAAGGTATCATCAGTTTTTGTCAGTAATTTTGATTTTTAAAATATCATATTAAAATGTTTCTTTTCTTGATTCCCCAGCTTTCTGGCACCACCTTGAATATTGCACCTCACTTATCTCACCCCCCCGTACCGGCCCTCGAGGACACATCCCCATTCACTTCCCATTCTGCCCTGTCCTCTAGGTCCTGCAGAACCAAGGAGCAGGTCAGGTATGGTGGAACTCTGAAACCAACAGCCAGGCCAGAAGTGGTCCCTGAGGTGGGGACTTCTGACCCCTCATTCTCTACCCTACAGCTTTGTTGGGTCTTTGGGTAAATTACTGATATCTGTTCAAGGTCAGACACGATGGTCAGAAGGTCTACATATGTCTCGGTGTGCAAAGAGGACCTTCCAGAAGAGAGTCCCAGAGATGCAGCTTTCTGGAAGGACTCCCCAGTTGGTGTTCAAAAAAGGCAGTGGTTCCTTTAGGAGCCAGTATGGAGTCAATAATGCCAGGGCTTAAAAAACAAAACAACACACATTCTTGGGCTCCACCCTGGACAGAACGGAGCCTGGCAATTTGTTTCTTTGCAAGTTCCCCATGTGGGGCTGGAGATGTGGCTCAGTGATAGAGAGTCCTTGCCTAGCATGTGTGAGGCTCTGGGTTCAACCTCTGGCACTGCAAAAAATAAAATAAAATGTTTCCCCTGTCATATATAAATAAAAAAAATTTTCATTAAAAAAAAAAAAGTTTCCCATGTGATTCTGATGATCATCTAAGGACCAGAAAGTTCAATCTGTAAGATTTCAAACCAACTAGTTGACAGATGGATGGCCAGAACTTGGGGCTTTCTCAAGAGCCATGTGGCTGTACTTGAGCAGGCAACTTTCACCCCTCCAGGGTTTCGTGACCCTCCCGCAGCCACACATCAAGAGTCCACACATAAGAGCAAGGCCACCTAGGAGAAGACTCTTCCTTGGCCTTTCTCATTGTCCCCTGTTTTGCCTGAGAGATGAAGGATCAGACTTTGAGAGGTAATTTGTCTGGAAGAGAGTTCTGACTCATGTCAGGAAACCTCAAGCCAGATGAAACTACCTGGATAAATATAAACCCTGGCACTTAGGGGTAGAGGTAGTTGGGAGAGAGGCGGTTCAGAAAGTTCCTGAGGGAAGACTTGGGGCTGCTCAGTGCCTGTGGCTGGGGTGATTCAGGGGTATGGAGTGGCTACCAAGGACAGAGGTGGGCAGCAGCTGTATTAACGGAAACCCATGGAGACCTGGGGGCCAGGGCCAGGGCTCTGGGGATCCTGTAGGCTATTTCTTGGCTGGGCCACAGCTGAGGGGCTTGTGTCCCCTTTCAGGTAGTTTTCTAGAAACCAGAGGGGTCCAGGAGGTGGACAAGATGGTGAAGAGACTTGAACCCCTGTCCTAGAAGGAATGGCAGAAAGTACTTGCGGGGCCTGGGATTGTGGCTCAGTGGTAGAGCGCTCGCCTAGCATGCACGAGGCACTGGGTTCGATCCTCAGCACCACATAAATGTAAAATAAAGATATTGTGGCTACCTAAACTTAAAAATAAATATTAAAAAAAAGAAAATATTTGGGGCACTTAGCTGGCTATAGAGAAGGCTCTAGCAAGATGTGGCTGTTTTCTTCTTTTCTCTCTTTTCCCTCCCTTCCCGCTTCTTTCTTTATTTCCTTGAGCCCAGGGCCTTGCCCATGCATACAAGGCCAGCACTCTACCCCTGAGCTGCACCCCCTGCCCAGTGTGACTGTTTTCTAATGGCTTCAGGGCTGCAACTGGGGCAAAAAAAAAAAAAAAAAAAAAAGAATTCATTTTCCTCCACGTCACTGCTAACCTCCTGTGCTGAATTATCTACTGATTTGTTTGTACTGGTTGTCTTCCCCACCCCCTAACATAAGCACCTTGAGCTGTTCTATCACCATGGTCATTGCCTGGCCCAGGGCAGGTGGTCCTCTAAGGGAACAAAGGAAGGAGGGATTGGACTTCTCCATCCCCAGAGGTCTCCAAAACCATGGTTGTTGAAGAGAAGAGTGGTCCCTGGGGTGGACTATTGGATTCTGGCTTCTAAGGACCTCAGCTCTACTGACTCTTGGATTTTTCATCAAGACCATAAGAGAACATTGGTGTTTATATATAAGAAAGTTTGTGTGACTGGG